TTAGACACAGAGACAGACCAGGTGGACACGGGGCGTCTACGTGGGACACCTCCTGAGACAGACACAGACACTTAGACACAGAGACACGGGGTGTGTCTACGTGGAGACACGGTGTGTGTCTACGTGGAGACACGGTGTGTCTAACTGAGGACACCTCCTGAGACAGACACAGACACTTAGACACAGAGACAGACCAGGTGGACACGGGGCGTCTACGTGGGACACCTCCTGAGACAGACACAGACACTTAGACACAGAGACAGACAAGGTGGACACGGGGCGTCTACGTGGGACACCTCCTGAGACAGACACAGACACTTAGACACAGAGACAGACCAGGTGGACACGGGGCATCTACGTGGGACACCTCCTGAGACAGACACAGACACTTAGACACAGAGACAGACCAGGTGGACACGGGGCGTCTACGTGGGACACCTCCTGAGACAGACACAGAGCACTTAGACACAGAGACAGACCAGGTGGACACGGGGCGTCTACGTGGGACACCTCCTGAGACAGACACAGAGCACTTAGACACAGAGACAGACCAGGTGGACACGGGGCGTCTACGTGGGACACCTCCTGAGACAGACACAGACACTTAGACACAGAGACAGACAAGGTGGACACGGGGCGTCTCCGCGGGACACCTCCTGAGACAGACACAGACACTTAGACACAGAGACAGACCAGGTGGACACGGGGCGTCTACGTGGGACACCTCCTGAGACAGACACAGACACTTAGACACAGAGACAGACAAGGTGGACACGGGGCGTCTCCGCGGGACACCTCCTGAGACAGACACAGACACTTAGACACAGAGACAGACCAGGTGGACACGGGGCGTCTACGTGGGACACCTCCTGAGACAGACACAGACACTTAGACACAGAGACAGACCAGGTGGACACGGGGCGTCTACGTGGGACACCTCCTGAGACAGACACAGACACTTAGACACAGAGACACACCAGGTGGACACGGGACGTCTACGCGGGACACCTCCTGAGACAGACACAGACACTTAGACACAGAGACACGGGGTGTGTCTACGTGGGACACCTGAGACAGACACAGACACTTAGACACAGAGACAGACCAGGTGGACACGGGGCGTCTACGTGGGACACCTCCTGAGACAGACACGGAGCACTTAGACACAGAGACAGACCAGGTGGACACGGGGCGTCTACGTGGGACACCTCCTGAGACAGACACAGACACTTAGACACAGAGACAGACCAGGTGGACACGGGACGTCTACGCGGGACACCTCCTGAGACAGACACAGACACTTAGACACAGAGACAGACCAGGTGGACACGGGGTGTCTACGTGGAGACACCTCCTGAGACAGACACAGACACTTAGACACAGAGACAGACCAGGTGGACACACGGGGTGTCTACGTGGGACACCTCCTGAGACAGATACAGACACTTAGACACAGAGAGAGACCAGGTGGACACGGGGCGTCTACGTGGGACACCTCCTGAGACAGACACAGACACTTAGACACAGAGACACGGGGCGTCTCCGCGGGACACCTCCTGAGACAGACACAGACACTTAGACACAGAGACACGGGGTGTCTACGTGGAGACACGGGGTGTCTACGTGGGACACCTCCTGAGACAGACACAGACACTTAGACACAGAGACACGGGGTGTCTACGTGGAGACACGGGGTGTCTACGTGGACACCTCCTGAGACAGACACAGACACTTAGACACAGAGACACGGGGTGTGTCTACGTGGAGACACGGGGTGTCTACGTGGACACCTCCTGAGACAGACACAGACACTTAGACACAGAGACAGACCAGGTGGACACGGGGCGTCTACGTGGGACACCTCCTGAGACAGACACAGACACTTAGACACAGAGACAGACCAGGTGGACACGGGGCGTCTACGTGGGACACCTCCTGAGACACACACAGACACTTAGACACAGAGACAGACCAGGTGGACACGGGGCGTCTACGTGGGACACCTCCTGAGACAGACACAGACACTTAGACACAGAGACAGACCAGGTGGACACAGGGCGTCTACGTGGGACACCTCCTGAGACAGACACAGACACTTAGACACAGAGACAGACCAGGTGGACACACGGAGTGTCTACGTGGGACACCTCCTGAGACACACACAGACACTTAGACACAGAGACAGACCAGGTGGACACGGGGCGTCTACGTGGGACACCTCCTGAGACAGACACTTAGACACAGAGACAGACCAGGTGGACACGGGGCGTCTACGTGGGACACCTCCTGAGACAGACACAGACACTTAGACACAGAGACAGACCAGGTGGAGACACGGGGTGTCTACGTGGGACACCTCCTGAGACAGACACAGACACTTAGACACAGAGACAGACCAGGTGGACACGGGGCGTCTACGCGGGACACCTCCTGAGACACACACAGACACTTAGACACAGAGACAGACCAGGTGGACACGGGGCGTCTACGTGGGACACCTCCTGAGACAGACACTTAGACACAGAGACAGACCAGGTGGACACGGGGCGTCTACGTGGGACACCTCCTGAGACAGACACAGACACTTAGACACAGAGACAGACCAGGTGGAGACACGGGGTGTCTACGTGGGACACCTCCTGAGACAGACACAGACACTTAGACACAGAGACAGACCAGGTGGACACGGGGCGTCTACGCGGGACACCTCCTGAGACAGACACAGACACTTAGACACAGAGACAGACCAGGTGGACACGGGGCGTCTACGCGGGACACCTCCTGAGACAGACACAGACACTTAGACACAGAGATACGGGGCGTCTCCGCGGGACACCTCCTGAGACAGACACAGAGCACTTAGACACAGAGACAGACCAGGTGGACACGGGGCGTCTACGTGGGACACCTCCTGAGACAGACACAGACACTTAGACACAGAGACAGACCAGGTGGAGACACGGGGCGTCTACGCGGGACACCTCCTGAGACAGACACAGAGCACTTAGACACAGAGACAGACTAGGTGGAGACACGGGGCGTCTACGTAGACACACGGGGTGTCTACGTGGCACACCGCCTGAGACAGACACAGACACTTAGACACAGAGACACGGGGTGTGTCTACGTGGAGACACGGTGTGTCTACGTGGACACCTCCTGAGACAGACACAGAGCACTTAGACACAGAGACAGACCAGGTGGACACGGGGCGTCTACGCGGGACACCTCCTGAGACAGACACAGAGCACTTAGACACAGAGACAGAGCACGTGGAGACACGGGGCATGTCTACGTGGACACCTGCTGAGACAGACACAGACACTTAGACACAGAGACAGACCAGGTGGACACGGGGCGTCTCCGCGGGACACCTCCTGAGACAGACACAGAGCACTTAGACACAGAGACAGACCAGGTGGACACGGGGCGTCTACGCGGGACACCTCCTGAGACAGACACAGACACTTAGACACAGAGACACACCACGTGGACACACGGGGTGTCTACGTGGAGACACGGGGTGTCTACGTGGAGACACGGTGTGTCTAACTGAGGACACCTGCTGAGACAGACACAGACACTTAGACACAGAGACAGACCAGGTGGACACGGGGCGTCTACGCGGGACACCTCCTGAGACAGACACAGACACTTAGACACAGAGACAGACCAGGTGGACACGGGCCGTCTACGTGGGACACCTCCTGAGACAGACACAGACACTTAGACACAGAGACAGACCAGGTGGACACGGGGTGTCTACGCGGGACACCTCCTGAGACAGACACAGAGCACTTAGACACAGAGACAGACCAGGTGGACACGGGGCGTCTCCGTGGGACACCTCCTGAGACAGACACAGACACTTAGACACAGAGACAGACCAGGTGGACACGGGGCGTCTACGTGGGACACCTCCTGAGACAGACACAGACACTTAGACACAGAGTGGTGAGTGAGTGAGTGGTGAGTGAGTGGTGAGTGAGTGGTGAGTGGTGTAGTGAGTGAGTGAGTGGTGTAGTGAGTGGTGAGTGAGTGGTGAGTGAGTGGTGTAGTGAGTGGTGTAGTAAGTGGTGAGCGAGTGAGTGGTGTAGTGAGTGAGTGAGTGGTGTAGTGAGTGAGTGGTGTAGTGAGTGAGTGAGTGGTGTAGTGAGTGGTGAGTGAGTGGTGAGTGAGTGGTGTAGTGAGTGAGTGGTGTAGTGAGTGGTGTAGTAAGTGGTGAGCGAGTGAGTGGTATAGTGAGTGAGTGGTGTAGTGAGTGAGTGAGTGGTGTAGTAAGTGGTGTAGTGAGTGGTGTAGTGAGTGAGTGGTGTAGTGAGTGGTGAGTGAGTGGTGTAGTGAGTGGTGAGTGAGTGGTGAGTGACTGGTGAGTGAGTGGTGAGTGGTGTAGTGAGTGGTGTAGTGAGGGGTGTAGTGAGTGGTGTAGTGAGTGGTGTAGTGAGTGAGTGGTGAGTGGTGAGTGAGTGGTGAGTGCTGAGTGAGTGGTGTAGTGAGTGGTGAGTGAGTGAATGGTGTAGTGAGTGAGTGAGTGGTGTAGTGAGTGGTGAGTGAGTGGTGTAGTGAGTGAGTGGTGTAGTGAGTGAGTGAGTGGTGTAGTGAGTGAGTGGTGTAGTGAGTGGTGAGTGAGTGGTGAGTGACTGGTGAGTGAGTGGTGAGTGGTGTAGTGAATGGTGTAGTGAGCGGTGTAGTGAGTGGTGTAGTGAGTGGTGTAGTTAGTGAGTGGTGAGTGGTGAGTGAGTGGTGAGTGGTGAGTGAGTGGTGTAGTGAGTGGTGAGTGAGTGGTGTAGTGAGTGAGTGAGTGGTGTAGTGAGTGGTGTAGTGAGTGGTGAGTGAGTGGTGAGTAAGTGAGTGGTAAGTGGTGAGTGAGTGAGTGGTGAGTGAGTGGTGAGTGAGTGAGTGTTGTAGTAAGTGGTGAGTGAGTGAGTGAGTGGTGTAGTGAGTGAGTGGTGTAGTGAGTGGTGTAGTGAGTGAGTGTATGAGTGAGTGAGTGTATGAGTGAGTGTATGAGTGAGTGAGTGTATGAGTGAGTGTATGAGTGAGTGAGTGTATGAGTGAGTGAGTGGTGTAGCGAGTGGTGAGCGAGTGGTGTAGTGAGTGAGTGAGTGGTGTAGTGAGTGAGTGAGTGGTGTAGTGAGTGAGTGAGTGGATGAGTGAGTGAGTGGTGTAGTGAGTGAGTGGTGTAGTGAGTGAGTGGTGCAGTGAGTGAGTGGTGTAGTGAGTGAGTGGGTGAGTGGTGTAGTGAGTGAGTGAGTGGTGTAGTGAGTGAGTGAGTGGTGAGTGAGTGGTGTAGTGAGTGAGTGGTGTAGTGAGAGAGTGAGTGGTGAGTGAGTGGTGTAGTGAGTGAGTGTATGAGTGAGTGAGTGTATGAGTGAGTGAGTGAGTGATGTAGCGAGTGGTGAGTGTATGAGTGAGTGAGTGTATGAGTGAGTGAGTGTATGAGTGAGTGAGTCTATGAGTGAGTGAGTGAGTATATGAGTGAGTGAGTGTATGAGTGAGTGAGTGAGAGGTGAGTGAGTGAGTGTATGAGTGAGTGAGTGTATGATTGAGTGAGTGAGAGGTGAGTGAGTGAGTGGTGAGTGAGTGAGTGAGTGGTATAGTGAGTGGTGTAGTGAGTGAGTGTATGAGTGAGTGTATGAGTAAGTGGTGTAGTGAATGAGTGAGTGTATGCATGAGTGAGTGTATGAGTGAGTGAGTGTATGAGTGAGTGAGTGGTGTAGTGAGTGGTGTAGTAAGTGGTGTAGTGAGTGAGTGGTGTAGTGAGTGTAGTGAGTGAGTGTATGAGTGAGTGAGTGGTGAGTGAGTGAGTGGTGTAGTAAGTGGTGTAGTGAGTGAGTGTATGAGTGAGTGAGTGTATGAGTGAGTGAGTGGTGTAGTGAGTGGTGTAGTGAGTGAGTGTATGAGTGAGTGAGTGTATGAGTGAGTGTATGAGTGAGTGTGTGAGTGAGTGAGTGTATGAGTGAGTGAGTGGTGTAGCGAGTGGTGAGCGAGTGGTGTAGTGAGTGGTGTAGTGAGTGAGTGGTGTAGTGAGTGAGTGGTGTAGTGAGTGAGTGGTGTAGTGAGTGAGTGAGTGGTGTAGTGAGTGAGTGAGTGGATGAGTGAGTGAGTGGTGTAGTAAGTGGTGTAGTGAGTGAGTGAGTCTATGAGTGAGTGGTGAGTGGTGTAGTGAGTGGTGTAGTAAGTGGTGTAGTAAGTGGTGTAGTGAGTGAGTGTATGAGTGAGTGAGTGTATGAGTGAGTGAGTGGTGTAGTGAGTGAGTGAGTCTATAAGTGAGTGGTGAGTGGTGTAGTGAGTGGTGTAGTAAGTGGTGTAGTGAGTGAGTGTATGAGTGAGTGAGTGTATGAGTGAGTGAGTGGTGTAGTGAGTGAGTGTATGAGTGAGTGAGTGTATGAGTGAGTGGTGTAGTGAGTGGTGTAGTGAGTGGTGTAGTGAGTGAGTGAGTGGTGAGTGAGTGAGTGTATGAGTGAGTGGTGAGTGAGTGAGTGGTGTAGCGAGTGAGTGTATGAGTCAGTGAGTGAGTGGTGTAGTGAGTGGTGTGAGTGAGTGTATGAGTGAGTGAGTGTATAAGTGAGTGAGTGGTGTAGTGAGTGAGTGAGTGGTGTAGTAAGTGGTGAGTGAGTGGTGAGTGAGTGTATGAGTGAGTGAGTGGTGAGTGGTGTAGTAAGTGAGTGAGTGGTGTAGTGAGTGAGTGTATGAGTGAGTGAGTGTATGAGTGAGTGAGTGGTGTAGCGAGTGGTGTAGTGAGTGGTGTAGCGAGTGGTGAGTGAGTGTATGAGTGAGTGAGTGGTGTAGTAAGTGGTGTAGTGAGTGTATGAGTGAGTGAGTGTATGAGTGAGTGTATGAGTGAGTGAGTGTATGAGTGAGTGAGTGAGTGTATGAATGAGTGTATGAGTGAGTGAGTGTATGAGTGAGTGGTGTAGCGAGTGGTGAGTGTATGAGTGAGTGAGTGTATGAGTGAGTGTATGAGTGAGTGAGTGTATGAGTGAGTGTATGAGTGAGTGAGTGAGTGTATGAGTGAGTGTATGAGTGAGTGAGTGTATGAATGAGTGTATGAGTGAGTGAGTGTATGAATGAGTGTATGAGTGAGTGAGTGTATGAGTGAGTGGTGTAGCGAGTGGTGAGCGAGTGGTGAGTGAGTGAGTGGTGTAGTGAGTGGGTGAGTGTATGAGTGAGTGAGTGAGTCTATGAGTGAGTGAGTGTATGAGTGAGTGAGTGTATGAGTGAGTGAGTGTATGAGTGAGTGGTGTAGTGAGTGAGTGTATGAGTGAGTGGTGTAGTGAGTGGTGTAGTGAGTGGTGTAGTGAGTGAGTGAGTGGTGAGTGAGTGGGTGAGTGAGTGAGTGGTGTAGTGAGTGAGTGAGTGGTGTAGTGAGTGAGTGGTGTAGTGAGTGGGTGAGTGTATGAGTGAGTGAGTGAGTCTATGAGTGAGTGAGTGTATGAGTGAGTGAGTGTATGAGTGAGTGAGTGTATGAGTGAGTGGTGTAGTGAGTGAGTGTATGAGTGAGTGGTGTAGTGAGTGGTGTAGTGAGTGGTGTAGTGAGTGAGTGAGTGGTGAGTGAGTGGGTGAGTGAGTGAGTGGTGTAGTGAGTGAGTGAGTGGTGTAGTGAGTGAGTGGTGTAGTGAGTGGGTGAGTGTATGAGTGAGTGAGTGAGTCTATGAGTGAGTGAGTGTATGAGTGAGTGAGTGTATGAGTGAGTGAGTGTATGAGTGAGTGGTGTAGTGAGTGAGTGTATGAGTGAGTGGTGTAGTGAGTGGTGTAGTGAGTGGTGTAGTGAGTGAGTGAGTGGTGAGTGAGTGGGTGAGTGAGTGAGTGGTGTAGTGAGTGAGTGAGTGGTGTAGTGAGTGAGTGGTGTAGTGAGTGAGTGGTGTAGTGAGTGGTGTAGTGAGTGAGTGGTGTAGTGAGTGAGTGGTGTAGTGAGTGAGTGGTGTAGTGAGTGAGTGGTGTAGTGAGTGAGTGAGTGGTGTAGTGAGTGAGTGGTGTAGTGAGTGAGTGGTGTAGTAAGTGGTGTAGTGAGTGAGTGGTGTAGTGAGTGAGTGGTGTAGTGAGTGAGTGGTGTAGTAAGTGGTGTAGTGAGTGAGTGGTGTAGTGAGTGAGTGGTGTAGTGAGTGAGTGAGTGGTGTAGTAAGTGGTGTAGTGAGTGAGTGAGTGGTGTAGTGAGTGAGTGTATGAGTGAGTGAGTGGTGAGCGAGTGGTGAGCGAGTGGTGAGCGCACTCACTGGGAATGGTGAGGATCTGGGTGCCCTCCGTGGTGAGCGTTCCCTCACCACAACTCACCTCCACCCCCCTCTGCCTCGCAAACGACGCCCAGTAGCACACCTGGGGGTCAGGGGTCAAGGTCAGGGTAAAAGGTCACTGCCAGGGTCAGGGGTCAAGGTCGGGGCTCAATGCTCCCTCAGTAGTGTCAGGGGTGGTGAGGTCACAGGTGGTGAGTGGCTGGTGGTGGTGGTGAGTGGCTGGTGGTAGTGGTGAGTAGCTGGTGGTGGTGAGTGGCTGGTGGTGGTGGTGAGTGGCTGGTGGTGGTGGTGGTGAGTGGCTGGTGGTGGTGGTGAGTGGCTGGTGGTGGTGGTAGTGAGTGGCTGGTGGTGGTGGTAGTGGTGAGTGGCTGGTGGTAGTGAGTGGCTGGTGGTGGTGGTGGTGAGTGGCTGGTGGTGGTGGTGAGTGGTTGGTGGTGGTGGTGGTGAGTGGCTTGTGGTGGTGGTGAGTGGCTGGTGGTGGTGGTGAGTGGCTGGTGGTAGTGGTGAGTGGGTGGTGGTGGTGAGTGGCTGGTGGTGGTGGTGAGTGGCTGGTGGTGGTAGTGAGTGGCTGGTGGTGGTGGTGGTGAGTGGCTGGTGGTGGTGGTGAGTGGCTGGTGGTGGTGGTAGTGAGTGGCTGGTGGTGGTGGTAGTGGTGAGTGGCTGGTGGTAGTGAGTGGCTGGTGGTGGTGGTGGTGAGTGGCTGGTGGTGGTGGTGAGTGGCTGGTGGTGGTGGTGGTGAGTGGCTTGTGGTGGTGGTGAGTGGCTGGTGGTGGTGGTGAGTGGCTGGTGGTGGTGGTAGTGAGTGGCTGGTGGTGGTGGTAGTGGTGAGTGGCTGGTGGTAGTGAGTGGCTGGTGGTGGTGGTGGTGAGTGGCTGGTGGTGGTGGTGAGTGGCTGGTGGTGGTGGTGGTGAGTGGCTTGTGGTGGTGGTGAGTGGCTGGTGGTGGTGGTGAGTGGCTGGTGGTAGTGGTAGTGGTGAGTGGGTGGTGGTGGTGAGTGGCTGGTGGTGGTGGTGAGTGGCTGGTGGTGGTAGTGAGTGGCTGGTGGTGGTGGTGGTGAGTGGCTGGTGGTGGTGGTGAGTGGCTGGTGGTGGTGGTAGTGAGTGGCTGGTGGTGGTGGTGGTGAGTGGCTGGTGGTAGTGAGTGGCTGGTGGTGGTGGTGGTGAGTGGCTGGTGGTGGTGGTGAGTGGCTGGTGGCAGTGGTGGTGAGTGGATGGTGGTGGTGGTGAGTGGCTGGCGGTGGTGGTGAGTGGCTGGTGGTGGTGGTGAGTGGCTGGTGGTGGTGGTAGTGAGTGGCTGGTGGTGGTAGTGAGTGGCTGGTGGTAGTGGTAGTGAGTGGCTGGTGGTGGTAGTGGTGAGTGGCTGGTGGTGGTAGTGGTAGTGAGTGGCTGGTGGTGGTAGTGGTGAGTGGCTGGTGGTGGTAGTGAGTGGCTGGTGGTAGTGGTAGTGAGTGGCTGGTGGTAGTGGTAGTGAGTGGCTGGTGGCGGTAACGGTGAGTGGCTGGTGGTGGTAACGGTGAGCGGCTGGTGGCGGTAGCGGTGAGTGGCTGGTGGTGGTAACGGTGAGCGGCTGGTGGCGGCGGTAACGGTGAGTGGTTGGCGGTAACGGTGAGTGGCTGGCGGTGGCGGTGGTAACGGTGAGCGGTGAGCGGTGAGCGTTGCCGGTGCCGCACCTGCAGGCGCGGGAAGCTGGCGCTGAGCGCCGTGCGTGTGATGTGCCGACTCAGCTTCCGCTTGGGAGGCCTCGGGGCGGTGTTGCCGAAGAGCGGCCCGGCACGGACTGGAAGGCCGGTGGGCCCGGCCCCAGATGCCGAGGCGAAGGTCTGAAGCCAGCGCAGTGTAGAGCCATAGAGCAGGGCCCGGGGTGAGTCTCCGTCTGGGTGGGGGTGAGGGTGGGTGGGTGGGTGGGTTAGTGGGTGGGTGGGTGGGTGGGTTGGTTAGTGGGTGGGTGGGTGAGTGGGTTAGTGAGTTGGTGAGTGGATGGGTGAGTGAGTGGGTGGGTGAGTGGGTGAGTGAGTGGGTGGGTGAGTGGGTGAGTGAGTGGGTTAGTGAGTGAGTGGGTGGGTGAGTGGGTGAGTGGGTGGGTGAGTGAGTGAGTGGGTGAGTGGGTGAGTGGGTGGGTTAGTGAGTGGGTGGGTGGGTGAGTGAGTGGGTGAGTGAGTGGGTGGGTGAGTGGGTTAGTGAGTGGATGAGTGAGTGGGTGAGTGAGTGGGTGGGTGAGTGAGTGGGTTAGTGAGTGAGTTAGTGAGTGGGTGGTTGAGTGGGTGGGTGGGTGAGTGGGTGGGTGGGTGGGTTAGTGAGTGAGTGGGTGGGTGGGTGGGTGGGTTAGTGGGTGGGTGGGTGGGTTAGTGGGTGGGTGGGTGGGTGGGTGAGTGGGTGGGTGGGTGGGTGAGTGTGTTAGTGAGTGGGTGGGTGAGTGGGTGAGTGAGTGGGTTAGTGAGTGGGTGAGTGAGTGGGTGAGTTAGTGAGTGAGTGGGTGAGTGGGTGAGTGAGTGGGTGGGTGGGTGGGTGAGTGAGTGAGTGGGTGAGTAAGTGGGTGAGTCTATGAGTGAGTGTGTGTGTGAGTGAGTGAGTGAGTCTATGAGTGAGTGTGTGTGTGAGTGAGTGAGTGAGTCTATGAGTGAGTGTGTGAGTGTGTGTGTTGGTGTGTGTGTGTGTGAGTGAGTGAGTCTATGAGTGAGTGAGTGAGTCTATGAGTGAATGAATGAGTGAGTGTGTGAGTGTGTGAGTGAATGAGTGTGTGAGTGAGTCTATGAGTGACTGAATGAGTCTATGAATGAGTGACTGAGTGAATGAGTGTGTGAGTGTGTGACTGAGTGAGTGAGTGACTGAGTGACTGAGTGAGTGATTGAGTGAGTGAGTGAGTGACTGAGTGAGTGAGTCTATGAATCTATGAGTGAGTGAGTGAGTCTGTGAGTGAGTGAGTGAGTCTATGAGTGAGTCTATGAGTGAATGAATGAGTGAGTGTGTGAGTGTGTGAGTGAATGAGTGTGTGAGTGAGTCTATGAGTGAGTGACTGAATGAGTCTATGAATGAGTGACTGAGTGAATGAGTGTGTGGGTGTGTGACTGAGTGAGTGAGTGAGTGACTGAGTGACTGAGTGAGTGACTGAGTGAGTGAGTCTATGAGTCTATGAGTGAGTGAGTGAGTCTGTGAGTGAGTGAGTGAGTCTATGAGTGAGTCTATGAGTGAATGAATGAGTGAGTGTGTGAGTGTGTGAGTGAATGAGTGTGTGAGTGAGTCTATGAGTGAGTGACTGAATGAGTCTATGAATGAGTGACTGAGTGAATGAGTGTGTGAGTATGTGACTGAGTGAGTGAGTGAGTGACTGAGTGACTGAGTGAGTGACTGAGTGAGTGAGTGAGTGACTGAGTGAGTGAGTCTATGAGTCTATGAGTGAGTGAGTGAGTCTGTGAGTGAGTGAGTGAGTGTGTTAGTGAGTGAGTGAGTGAGTGAATGAATGAGTGAGTGAGTGAGTGTGTGAGTCTATGAGTGACTGAGTGAGTGAGTCTATGAGTCTATGAGTGACTGAGTGAGTGAGTGAGTCTATGAGTCTATGACTGAGTGTGTGTGTGAGTGAGTGAGTGTGTGTGTGAGCACCGTGTCTGTGAGCGAGTCTCAGCGTGAGCTCCAGCGAGAGCCCGAGTGAGCGGAACCCCCGGTACGAGTCGTGCTGTGAGTGTGTGAGTGTGTGTGTGTTAGTGAGTGTGTGTGAGTGAGTGTGTGTTGGTGTGAGTGTGAGTGAGTGAGTGTGTGAGTGTGTGTGAGTGAGTCTATGACTGACTGAGTGACTGAGTGAATGAGTGTGTGAGTGAGTCTATAACTGAATGAGTGAGTGAGTCTATGAGTGAGTCTATGAGTGAGTGAGTCTATGAGTGACTGAGTGACTGATTGAGTGAGTGACTGCGTGACTGAGTGAATGAGTGAGTCTATGAGTGTGTGAGTGAGTGACTGAGTGAGTGTGTGACTGAGTGAGTGTGTGAGTGTGTGACTGAGTGAATGAGTGTGTGAGTGTGTGACTGAGTGAATGAGTGAGTGAGTGACTGAGTGTGTGAGTGAGTGAGTCTATGAGTGTGTGAGTCTATGAGTGAGTGAGTGAGTCTATGACTGAGTGAATGAGTGAGTGAGTGGTGAGTTAGTCTATGAGTGACTGAGTGAATGAGTGAGTGAGTGACTGAGTGAGTGAGTGTGTGTGTGAGTGAGTGAGTGAGTCTATGACTGAGTGTGTGTGTGAGTGAGTGTGTGTGTGAGCACCGTGTCTGTGAGCGAGTCTCAGCGTGAGCTCCAGCGACAGCCCCAGTGAGCGGAACCCCCGGTACGAGTCGTGCTGTGAGTGTGAGTGAGTGTGTGTGTGTTAGTGAGTGAGTGAGTGAATGAATGAGTGAGTGTGTGAGTCTATGAGTGACTGAGTGAGTGAGTCTATGAGTCTATGAGTGACTGAGTGAGTGAGTCTATGAGTCTATAAGTGACTAAGTGAGTGAGTCTATGAGTGAGTCTATGAGTGAGTGAGTCTATGAGTGACTGAGTGACTGAGTGAATGAGTGAGTGACTGAGTGAGTGAGTGAGTCTATGAGTCTATGAGTGTGTGTGTGAGTGTGTGTGAGTGTGTGAGTGAGTGTGTGTGTTAGTGAGTGAGTGAGTGTGTGGGTGTGTTAGTGTGTGAGTGAGTGAGTGTGTGAGTGAGTGTGTGTGTGTGAGTGAGTGTGTGTGAGTGTGTGTGAGTGAGTGTGTGTGTGAGTGAGTGAGTCTATGAGTGAGTGAGTGAGTCTATGAGTGACTGAGTGAGTGAATGAGTGAGTGAATGAGTGAGTGACTGAGTGAATGAGTGAGTGTGTGAGCACCGTGTCTGTGAGCGAGTCTCAGCGTGAGCTCCAGCGACAGCCCCAGCGAGCGGAACCCCCGGTACGAGTCGTGCTGTGAGTGTGAGTGAGTGTGTGTGTGAGTGTGTTAGTGTGAGTGTGTGAGTGTGTGAGTGTGTGTGTGTGTGAGTGTGTGTGTGTGAGTCTGTGTGTGTTGGTGTGTGTGTGAGTGTGTGAGTGAGTGAGTGTGTTAGTGAGTGTGTGTGAGTGAGTCTATGACTGACTGAGTGAGTGACTGAGTGAGTGTGTGTGTGTGAGTGTGTGAGTGAGTGACTGAGTGAGTGAGTCTATAAGTGAGTGACTGAGTGAGTGTGTGAGTGAGCACCGTGTCTGTGAGCGAGTCTCAGCGTGAGCTCCAGCGACAGCCCCAGCGAGCGGAACCCCCGGTACGAGTCGTGCTGTGAGTGAGTGAGTGAGTGTGTTGGTGTGTGTGAGTGTGTGTGTGAGTGTGTGTGTGAGTGTGTGAGTGAGTGAGTGTGTGAGTGAGTGTGTGTGTGAGTGTGTTAGTGAGTGAGTGAGTGACTGATTGAGTGAGTGAGTGTGTGTATGAGTGACTGAGTGAATGAGTGAGTGAGTGAATGAGTGACTGAGTGAATGAGTGACTGAGTGAGTGAGTGACTGAGTGAGTGTGTGGGTGAGCACCGTGTCTGTGAGCGAGCCTCAGCGTGAGCTCCAGCGACAGCCCGAGTGAGCGGAACCCCCGGTACGAGTCGTGCTGTGAGTGAGTGAGTCTATGAGTGAGTGAGTGGGTGAGTGAGTGTGTGAGTCTATGTGTGAGTGAGTGAGTCTATGAGTCTGTGAGTGAGTGAGTGAGTGAGTCTATGAGTGACTGAGTGAATGAGTGAGTGACTGACTGAGTGTGTGTGTGAGCACCGTGTCTGTGAGCGAGCCTCAGCGTGAGCTCCAGCGACAGCCCCAGCGAGCGGAACCCCCGGTACGAGTCGTGCTGTGAGCGTGTGTGAGTGAGTGTGTGTGAGTGTTAGTGTGTGTTAGTGTTTGTGTGTGAGTCTATGACTGAGTGAGTGAGTGTGTGAGCACCGTGTCTGTGAGCGAGTCTCAGCGTGAGCTCCAGCGACAGCCCCAGCGAGCGGAACCCCCGGTACGAGTCGTGCTGTGAGCCCGGCTGCCTCTGGGGCAGGCGATGTGGGCAGCAGGGCACCAGGCCGTGGTGGCTGGGCGGGACGCCGGCGGTGCCGCCGGTGGCGCCGGTGGCGCCGGTGGCGCCGGCACCACCGCCGGCACCACCACCGGCGCCACCGCCGCTCCCGCTCAGCGTCTCCCAGCCGAGCAACACTTGCAAGGTGAGGCCTGGCAGGTGTAGCAGGCAGCAGTCATCATACCTGGGACACCGGGGGGGAGACACGGGGGTGGGAGACACGGGGAGAGAGACACGTGGGTGGGAGACACGGGGATGGAGACATTGGGAGGGAGACACGGGGAGAGAGACATGGGGAGAGAGACACGGGGAGAGAGACACGTGGGGTTAATGGGAGACACGGGGAGAGAGACACGTGGGGTTAATGGGAGACACGGGGAGAGAGACACGTGGGTGGGAGACACGGGGAGAGAGACACGTGGGGTTAATGGGAGACACGGGGAGAGAGACACGTGGGGGTTAATGGGAGACACGGGGAGAGAGACACGGGGAGAGAGACACGGGGATGGAGACATTGGGAGGGAGACACGGGGAGAGAGACACGGGGAGAGAGACACGTGGGGTTAATGGGAGACACGGGGAGAGAGACATGGGGAGAGAGACACGGGGAGAGAGACACGTGGGGTTAATGGGAGACACGGGGAGAGAGACACGTGGGGTTAATGGGAGACACGGGGAGAGAGACATGGGGAGAGAGACACGGGGATGGAGACACATTGGGAGGGAGACACGGGGAGAGAGACACGGGGAGAGAGACACGTGGGGTTAATGGGAGACACGGGGAGAGAGACACGTGGGGTTAATGGGAGACACGGGGAGAGAGACACGGGGAGAGAGACACGGGGAGAGAGACACGGGGAGAGAGACACGTGGGTGGGAGACACGGGGAGAGAGACACGGGGAGACACGGGGAGACACGGGGAGGGAGACACGGGGAGACACGGGGAGACACGTGGGTGGGAGACACGGGGAGAGAGACATGGGGAGGGAGACACGGGGAGAGAGACATGGGGGTTAATGGGAGACACGGGGAGAGAGACACGTGGGGTTAATGGGAGACACGGGGAGAGAGACATGGGGAGGGAGACACGGGGAGAGAGACATGGGGGTTAATGGGAGACACGGGGAGAGAGACATGGGGGGTTAATGGGAGACACGGGGAGAGAGACACGTGGGGTTAATGGGAGACACGGGGAGAGAGACACGTGGGGTTAATGGGAGACACGGGGAGAGAGACATGGGGAGAGAGACACGTGGGGTTAATGGGAGACACGGGGAGAGAGACACGGGGAGACACGGGGAGACACGGGGAGGGAGACACGGGGAGAGAGACACGTGGCGTTAATGGGAGACACGGGGAGAGAGACACGTGGGGTTAATGGGAGACACAGGGAGAGAGACATGGGGAGAGAGACACGGGGAGAGAGACACGTGGGGTTAATGGGAGACACGGGGAGAGAGACATGGGGAGAGAGACACGGGGAGAGAGACACGTGGGGTTAATGGGAGACACGGGGAGAGAGACATGGGGAGGGAGACACGGGGAGAGAGACACGTGGGGTTAATGGGAGACACGGGGAGAGAGACATGGGGAGGGAGACACGGGGAGAGAGACACGTGGGGTTAATGGGAGACACGGGGAGAGAGACATGGGGAGGGAGACACGGGGAGAGAGACACGTGGGGTTAATGGGAGACACGGGGAGAGAGACATGGGGAGGGAGACACGGGGAGGGAGACACGGGGAGAGAGACACGTGGGGTTAATGGGAGACACGGGGAGAGAGACACGGGGAGACACGGGGAGACACGGGGAGGGAGACACGGGGAGAGAGACACGTGGCGTTAATGGGAGACACGGGGAGAGAGACACGGGGAGACACGGGGAGACACGGGGAGGGAGACACGGGGAGAGAGACACGGGGAGACACGGGGAGACACGGGGAGGGAGACACGGGGAGAGAGACACGTGGCATTAATGGGAGACACGGGGAGAGAGACACGGGGAGACACGGGGAGACACGGGGAGGGAGACACGGGGAGACACGGGGAGACACGGGGAGGGAGACGCGGGGAGGGAGACACGGGGAGGGAGACACGGGGAAGGAGACACATTGGGAGGGAGACACGGGGAGACGCGAGGAGGGAGACAAGGAGAGACGCAGGGAGGATGTGTGTCTGTGTGTGTGTGTGACTGTGTGTGTGTGTGTGTGACTGTGTGTGTGTGTGACTGTGTGTGTGTGTGTGTGACTGTGTGTGTGTGTGACTGTGTGTGTGACTGTGTGTGTGTATGTATGTGTGTGACTGTGTGTGTGTGACTGTGTGACTGTGTGTATGTTACTGTGTGTGTGTCTGTGTGTGTGTGTCTGTGTGTCTATGTGACTGTATGTGTGTGTGACTGTGTGTCTGTGTGTGTGTGTGAGACTGTGTGTGTGTGTCTGTGTGTGTGTCTGTGTGTGTGTGTCTGTGTGTGTGTGTCTGTGTGTGTGTGACTGTGTGTGTGTGTGACTGTGTGTGACTGTGTGTGTGACTGTGTGTGTGTGTGACTGTGTGTGTGACTGTGTGTGTGTATGTATGTGTGTGACTGTGTGTGTGTGACTGTGTGACTGTGTGTATGTTACTGTGTGTGTGTCTGTGTGTGTGTGTCTGTGTGTCTATGTGACTGTATGTGTGTGTGACTGTGTGTCTGTGTGTGTGTGTGAGACTGTGTGTGTGTGTCTGTGTGTGTGTCTGTGTGTGTGTGTCTGTGTGTGTGTGTCTGTGTGTGTGTGACTGTGTGTGTGTGTGACTGTGTGTGACTGTGTGTGTGACTGTGTGTGTGACTGTGTGTGTGTGACTGTGTGTGTGTGCCTGTGTGTGTGTGACTGTGTGTGTGTGTCTGTGTAAAACTACGTGGCCGGGAGTCAGAGCCATTCCCTGTACACCTTGGGGTGCGACAGGGATGTCCTCTGGCTCCCACATTATTTAACATCTATTTTGACCACGTAGTTCGTGAAGCCTTCAATAGCTGTACCGGGGGAATCTCCATATGGTACAGATATAATGGGAGGCTAATCGATGCCCGGGTGCGGTCAAGGGATGGCTCCCTATTGCTCAACCACGTTATGTATGCTGATGATTTGGTAATAGCTGCTCAGTCAGAGGAGGAGTTGGAGACGCTGCTGCTGAGACTGGAGCGTGCCACTAAGAGGTGGGGCCTTACCATCAGCCCCACCAAAACTAAGCACCTGCCTGGGTATTTTGTACCATCGGACACTCCACCCCCACAACTCCCAATCGGTGATTGGGCAGTTGTGGAGAGAGTGGAGAGTTTCCCATACCTGGGCAGTGTGCTTATGACTGGCTCCAGTTTAACAGCAGAGGTCTCACTCCGAATCAGTCGAGCGGCAATATCTTTTCATCGGTTGCGTAACGCTGTGTGGAAGCTACCTGGTCTGTCGCTCCGCACTAAGCTTCAGGTCTTCTCGGCCACGGTCATTCCCTCCCTTCTCTACGCTTGCGAAACGTGGACCCCCCTAATGGAACATCTTCGCCGGTTAGAAACATTTAGGCTGGCCTGCCTACGATCCATCCTGGGTTTAACCAGACTGGATTGTGTGAGGAGCTCACAAATCCTTGAAAGATCTGGGCAGGGTCCCATCGGTGAGCTCCTCCGGCAGGCAAGGCTGCGATGGCTGGGTCATGTAGCCCGCATGCCCAGCCACCGCATGCCGAAACAGCTTTTGTTTGGCCGGATCGAGGGGGCTAAGCGGGCGCGGCACGGGCTAGAGAAGAGATGGAGTGATGTGGTACAGGAGGACGTGGAGCTGAGTGGACTTGCCGATGACTGGTACCAGCGGTGTCAAGATCGGCCTCTGTGGAGGAGGCTCGTGAAGGACGCTACTGGGCAGTTGGAGGCAGTCGCCCTCCAACAACAACGGAGGGCGGAGGAGCGACGCTCACAACAATGAGCGGAGCGCCGGGTGGCTAAAGCACAGCAGGTTGGCACAGTAGGGGGCACAGGTGGTGCACCAGCCAGTCATCTCAGTCAGTCGACCCGTGGCACCTGGGTCTGCCCCGTGACCTCCTGCCAGCGGGCGTTCGACACTTCACGTGGCCTCACAGTGCACATAGCCTGGCACAAGCGTCGTGGTGACGTCACTGCCACTTAGTGGCGAATGGCGGTTGTTGTTGTCTGTGTGTGTGTCTGTGTGTGTGTGACTGTGTGTGTGTCTGTCTGTGTGTGTGTGTGTCTGTGTGTGTCTGTGTGTGTGTGACTGTGTGTGTGTGTGTCTGTGTGTGTGTGACTGTGTGTGTGTGTCTGCGTGTGTGTGTGTCTGCGTGTGTGTGTATGCGTGTGTGGGTGACTGTGTCTGTGTATGTCTGCGTGTGTGTGTGTCTGCGTGTGTGTGTGACTGTGTGTGTGACTGTGTGTGACTGTGTGTGTGACTGTGTGTGTGTGACTGTGTGTGTGACTGTGTGTGTGACTGTGTGTGTGACTGTGTGTGTGTGTGACTGTGTGTGTCTGTGTGACTGTGTGTGTGTGACTGCGTGTGTGTGACTGTGTGTGTGTGACTGTGTGTGTGTGACTGTGTGTGTGACTGTGTGTGTGACTGTGTGTCTGTGTGTCTGTGTGTGTGTGACTGTGTGTGTGTGTCTGTGTGTGTGTGTGTGACTGTGTATGTGTGTGTGACTGTGTGTGTGTGTCTGTGTGTGTGTGACTGTGTGTGTGTGTCTGTGTGTGAGTGTCTGTGTGTTTGTGTGTGAGTGTCTGTGTGTCTGTGTGTGTGTGTGACTGTGTGTGTGACTGTGTGTCTGTGTGTGTGTGACTGTGTGTGTGTGTGACTGTGTGTGTGTGTGAGACTGTGTGTGTGTGTGTGCGTACTTGGAGGCCGTGCGTACGTTGATGTCCAGGTCCCCGTGGTAGAGTAGCCGCCCCGGGCTCCACTCGAACCACAGTGGAGACCACTCCCAGTGCATGTGCTCTGTCGTGTTGTAGGGGTCCTACACACACACAGACACACACACACAGTCACACACACACAGTCACACACACACACAGTCACACACACAGTCACACACACACAGTCACACACACACACAGTCACACACACACACACAGTCACACACACACAGTCACACACACACACACACAGTCACACACACAGACACACACACACAGTCACACACACAGTCATACACACAGAGTCACACATACACACAGTCACACACACAGTCACACACACAGTGACACACACACACAGTCACACACACAGTCACACACAGTCACACACACACACAGTGCATGTGCTCTGTCGTGTTGTTGGGGTCCTGCACACACACACACACAGACAGTCAACAACAACAACAACCGCCATTCGCCACTAAGTGGCGGTGACGTCACCACGACGCTTGTGCCAGGCCATGTGCACCCTGAGACCACGTGAAGTGTCGAACGCCCGCTGGCAGGAGGTCACTGGGCAGACCCAGGTGCCACGGGTCGACTGACTGAGATGACTGGCTGATGCACCACCTGTGCCCCCTACTGTGTCAACCTGCTGTGCTTTAGCCACCCGGCGCTCTGCTCATTGTTCTGAGCGTCGCTCCTCCGCCCTCCGTTGTTGTTGGAGGGCGACTGCCTCCAACTGCCCAGTAGCATCCTTCACGAGCCTCCTCCACAGAGGCCGATCTTGACACCGCTGGTACCAGTCATCGGCAAGTCCACTCAGCTCCACGTCCTCCTGTACCACATCACTCCATCTCTTCTCTAGCCCGTGCCGCGCCCGCTTAGCCCCCTCGATCCGGCCAAACAAAAGCTGTTTCGGCATGCGGTGGCTGGGCATGCGGGCTACATGACCCAGCCATCGCAGCCTTGCCTGCCGGAGGAGCTCACCGATGGGACCCTGCCCAGATCTTTCAAGGATTTGTGAGCTCCTCACACAATCCAGTCTGGTTAAACCCAGGATGGATCGTAGGCAGGCCAGCCTAAATGTTTCTAACCGGCAAAGATGTTCCATTAGGTGGGTCCACGTTTCGCAAGCGTAGAGAAGGGAGGGAATGACCGTGGCCGAGAAGACCTGAAGCTTAGTGCGGAGCGACAGACCAGGTAGCTTCCACACAGCGTTACGCAACCGATGAAAAGATATTGCTGCTCGACTGATTTGGAGTGAGACCTCTGCTGTTAAACTGGAGCCAGTCATAAGCACACTGCCCAGGTATGGGAAACTCTCCACTCTCTCCACAACTGCCCCATCACCGATTGGGAGTTGTGGGGGTGGAGTGTCCGATGGTACAAAATACCCAGGCAGGTGCTTAGTTTTGGTGGGGCTGATGGTAAGGCCCCACCTCTTAGTGGCACGCTCCAGTCTCAGCAGCAGCGTCTCCAACTCCTCCTCTGACTGAGCAGCTATTACCAAATCATCAGCATACATAACGTGGTTGAGCAATAGGGAGCCATCCCTTGACCGCACCCGGGCATCGATTAGCCTCCCATTATATCTGTACCATATGGAGATTCCCCCGGTACAGCTATTGAAGGCTTCACGAACTACGTGGTCAAAATAGATGTTAAATAATGTGGGAGCCAGAGGACATCCCTGTCGCACCCCAAGGTGTACAGGGAATGGCTCTGACTCCCGGCCACGTAGTTTTACCCGGGCCCGCTCACCATCATGAAGGTCCTTAATGATCGTGAGCAGAGGGTCAGGTACTCCAAAAGCACGAAGAACGACCCAGAGCCCAGGCCTACTGATGGTATCATAGGCCTTGACCAGGTCAATAAAGCAGAGATGTAGGTCTTGTTGGAATTCCCTACACCTCTGCTGTAGCAGACGGACAGAAAATATGGCAGCAGCAGGCGCCCCTTGTCCCACCAGGTGAGTGTGTTAGTGAGTGTGTTAGTGAGTGTGTTAGTGAGTGTGTTAGTGAGTGAGTGAGTGGGTGAGTGAGTGAGTGTGTTAGTGTGTTAGTGAGTGAGTGTGTTAGTGTGTTAGTGAGTGTGTTAGTGAGTGTGTTAGTGAGTGTGTTAGTGAGTGTGTTAGTGAGTGAGTGTGTTAGTGAGTGTGTTAGTGAGTGTGTTAGTGAGTGTGTTAGTGAGTGAGTGTGTTAGTGAGTGAGTGTGTTAGTGAGTGTGTTAGTGAGTGTGTTAGTGAGTGTGTTAGTGGGTGTGTTAGTGAGTGTGTTAGTGAGTGTGTTAGTGGGTGTGTTAGTGAGTGTGTTAGTGAGTGTGTTAGTGGGTGTGTTAGTGAGTGTGTTAGTGGGTGTGTTAGTGAGTGTGTTAGTGAGTGTGTTAGTGTGTTAGTGTGTGAGTGTGTTAGTGTGTTAGTGAGTGTGTTAGTGAGTGTGTTAGTGAGTGTGTTAGTGAGTGTGTTAGTGAGTGTGTTAGTGGGTGTGTTAGTGAGTGTGTTAGTGAGTGTGTTAGTGGGTGTGTTAGTGAGTGTGTTAGTGAGTGAGTGTGTTAGTGAGTGAGTGTGTTAGTGAGTGAGTGTGTTAGTGAGTGTGTTAGTGAGTGTGTTAGTGAGTGTGTTAGTGAGTGTGTTAGTGGGTGTGTTAGTGAGTGTGTTAGTGAGTGTGTTAGTGGGTGTGTTAGTGAGTGTGTTAGTGAGTGTGTTAGTGGGTGTGTTAGTGAGTGTGTTAGTGGGTGTGTTAGTGAGTGTGTTAGTGAGTGTGTTAGTGTGTGAGTGTGTTAGTGTGTTAGTGAGTGTGTTAGTGAGTGTGTTAGTGAGTGTGTTAGTGAGTGTGTTAGTGGGTGTGTTAGTGAGTGTGTTAGTGGGTGTGTTAGTGAGTGTGTTAGTGAGTGTGTTAGTGTGTTAGTGTGTGAGTGTGTTAGTGTGTTAGTGAGTGTGTTAGTGAGTGTGTTAGTGAGTGTGTTAGTGGGTGTGTTAGTGAGTGTGTTAGTGAGTGTCTTAGTGGGTGAGTGAGTGAGTGAGTGAGTGATTGAGTGAGTGAGTGTGTTAGTGAGTCTGTGAGTGAGTGAGTCAGTGAGTGAGTGAGTCTATGAGTGAGTGAGTGATTGGGTGAGTGAGTGAGTGTGTTAGTGTGTTAGTGAGTGTGTTAGTGAGTGTGTTAGTGAGTGAGTGTGTTAGTGAGCTACCTGGCTGGCCAGCTGTTCCAGGTGAGCGTGTTAGTGAGTGTGTTAGTGAGTGTGTTAGTGAGTGTGTTAGTGTGTTCGTGAGTGTGTTAGTGAGTGTGTTAGTGAGTGTGTTAGTGAGTGTGTTAGTGAGTGAGTGTGTGAGTGTGTTAGTGAGTGTGTTAGTGAGTGTGTTAGTGAGTGTGTTAGTGAGTGAGTGTGTGAGTGTGTTAGTGAGTGTGTTAGTTAGTGTGTTAGTGAGTGAGTTAGTGAGTGTGTTAGTGAGTGTGTTAGTGAGTGTGTTAGTGTGTGTGTTAGTGAGTGTGTTAGTGTGTGTGTTAGTGTGTGTGTTAGTGAGTGTGTTAGTGAGTGTGTTAGTGAGTGTGTTAGTGAGTGTGTTAGTGAGTGTGTGAGTGTGTGAGTGTGTTAGTGTGTGTGTTAGTGAGTGTGTTAGTGTGTTAGTGAGTGTGTTAGTGTGTTAGTGAGTGTGTTAGTGAGTGTGTTAGTGTGTTAGTGAGTGTGTTAGTGAGTGTGTTAGTGAGTGTGTTAGTGAGTGTGTTAGTGAGTGTGTTAGTGAGTGTGTTAGTGAGTGTGTTAGTGAGTGTGTTAGTGAGTGTGTTAGTGTGTTAGTGTGTGAGTGTGTTAGTGAGTGTGTTAGTGAGTGTGTTAGTGTGTTAGTGAGTGAGTGAGTGTGTTAGTGAGTGTGTTAGTGAGTGTGTTAGTGAGTGTGTGAGTGAGTGTGTTAGTGAGTGTGTTAGTGAGTGTGTTAGTGAGTGTGTTACCTGGCTGGCCAGCTGCTCCAGCTGAGCGTGTGTGAGTGTGTTAGTGAGTGTGTTAGTGAGTGTGTTAGTGTGTTAGTGTGTGAGTGTGTGAGTGTGTTAGTGTGTTAGTGAGTGTGTTAGTGAGTGTGTTAGTGAGTGTGTTAGTGAGTGTGTTAGTGAGTGTGTTAGTGAGTGAGTGAGTGTGTGAGTGAGTGTGTTAGTGAGTGTGTGTTAGTGAGTGTGTTAGTGAGTGTGTTAGTGAGTGTGTTAGTGTGTTAGTGAGTGTGTTAGTGAGTGTGTTAGTGAGTGTGTGAGTGAGTGAGCTACCTGGCTGGCCAGCTGCTCCAGCTGAGCGTGTGTGAGTGTGTTAGTGAGTGTGTTAGTGAGTGTGTGAGTGTGTTAGTGAGTGTGTTAGTGTGTTAGTGAGTGTGTTAGTGAGTGTGTTAGTGAGTGAGTGAGTGTGTTAGTGAGTGTGTTAGTGAGTGTGTTAGTGAGTGTGTTAGTGAGTGTGTTAGTGAGTGTGTTAGTGTGTTAGTGAGTGAGTGTGTTAGTGTGTTAGTGAGTGTGTTAGTGAGTGTGTTAGTGAGTGTGTTAGTTAGTGTGTTAGTGTGTTACCTGGCTGGCCAGCTGCTCCAGCTGAGCGTGTGTTAGTGAGTGTGTGAGTGTGTGTGTGAGTGTGTGAGTGTGTTAGTGAGTGTGTGAGTGTGTGAGTGTGTTAGTGAGTGTGTGAGTGTGTGAGTGTGTTAGTGAGTGTGTTAGTTAGTGTGTTAGTGTGTTACCTGGCTGGCCAGCTGCTCCAGCTGAGCGTGTGTGAGTGTGTTAGTGAGTGTGTTAGTGTGTTAGTGAGTGTGTTAGTGAGTGTGTTAGTGAGTGTATTAGTGAGTGTGTTAGTGTGTGTGTTAGTGTGTGTGTTAGTGAGTGTGTTAGTGAGTGTGTTAGTGAGTGAGTGAGTGTGTTAGTGAGTGTGTTAGTGAGTGTATTAGTGAGTGTATTAGTGAGTGTGTTAGTGTGTGTGTTAGTGAGTGTATTAGTGAGTGTGTTAGTGAGTGTGCTACCTGGCTGGCCAGCTGCTCCAGCTGAGCGTGTGTTAGCTGCACCCTGAACCGCCCGTGCAGCAGCAGGCGCCCCTTGTCCCACCAGGTGAGTGTGTTAGTGTGTTAGTGAGTGTGTTAGTGTGTTAGTGAGTGTGTTAGTGAGTGAGTGAGTGAGTGTGTTAGTGAGTGTGTTAGTGAGTGTGTTAGTGAGTGAGTGAGTGAGCTACCTGGCTGGCCAGCTGCTCCAGCTGAGCGTGTGTGAGTGTGTTAGTGAGTGTGTTAGTGAGTGTGTTAGTGAGTGTGTTAGTGAGTGTGTTAGTGAGTGTGTTAGTGTGCTACCTGGCTGGCCAGCTGCTCCAGCTGAGCGTGTGTTAGTGAGTGTGTTAGTGTGTTAGTGAGTGTGTTAGTGAGTGTATTAGTGAGAGTGTGAGTGTGCTACCTGGCTGGCCAGCTGCTCCAGCTGAGCGTGTGTTAGTGAGTGTGTTAGTGTATTAGTGAGTGTGTTAGTGTGTTAGTGAGTGTGTGAGTGTACTACCTGGCTGGCCAGCTGCTCCAGCTGAGCGTGTGTTAGTGAGTGTGTTAGTGTGTTAGTGAGTGTGTTAGTGAGTGTGTTAGTGAGTGTGTTAGTGAGTGAGTGTGTTAGTGAGTGTGTTAGTGAGTGTGTTAGTGAGTGTGTTAGTGTGTTAGTGAGTGTGTTAGTGAGTGTGTTAGTGTGTTAGTGAGTGTGTTAGTGAGTGAGTGTGTTAGTAAGTGTGTTAGTAAGTGTGTTAGTGAGTGTGTGAGTGTGTTAGTGTGTTAGTGAGTGTGTTAGTGAGTGTATTAGTGAGAGTGTTAGTGAGCTACCTGGCTGGCCAGCTGCTCCAGCTGAGCGTGTGTTAGTGAGTGTGTTAGTGTGTTAGTGAGTGTGTTAGTGAGTGTATTAGTGAGAGTGTGAGTGTGCTACCTGGCTGGCCAGCTGCTCCAGCTGAGCGTGTGTTAGTGAGTGTGTTAGTGTGTTAGTGAGTGTGTTAGTGAGTGTGTTAGTGTGTTAGTGAGTGTGTTAGTGAGTGTGTTAGTGTGTTAGTGAGTGTGTTAGTGAGTGAGTGTGTTAGTAAGTGTGTTAGTGAGTGTGTGAGTGTGTTAGTGTGTTAGTGAGTGTGTTAGTGAGTGTATTAGTGAGAGTGTTAGTGAGCTACCTGGCTGGCCAGCTGCTCCAGCTGAGCGTGTGTTAGTGAGTGTGTTAGTGTGTTAGTGAGTGTGTTAGTGAGTGTATTAGTGAGAGTGTGAGTGTGCTACCTGGCTGGCCAGCTGCTCCAGCTGAGCGTGTGTTAGTGAGTGTGTTAGTGAGTGTGTTAGTGAGTGTGTTAGTGAGTGTGTGTGTTAGTGTGTTAGTGTGTTACCTGGCTGGCCAGCTGCTCCAGCTGAGCGTGTGTTAGTGAGTGTGTTAGTGAGTGTGTTAGTGAGTGTGTTAGTGAGTGTGTTAGTGAGTGTGTTAGTGTGTGTGTTAGTGAGTGTGTTACCTGGCTGGCCAGCTGCTCCAGCTGAGCGTGTGTTAGCTGCACCCCGAACCGCCCGTGCAGCAGCAGGCGCCCCTTGTCCCACCAGGTGAGTGTGTTAGTGAGTGTGTTAGTGAGTGTGTTAGTGAGTGTGTTAGTGAGTGTGTTAGTGAGTGTGTTAGTGAGTGTGTTAGTGAGTGTGTTACCTGGCTGGCCAGCTGCTCCAGCTGAGCGTGTGTGAGTGTGTTAGTGTGTGTGTTAGTGAGTGAGTGTGTTAGTGAGTGTGTTAGTGAGTGTGTTAGTGAGTGTGTTAGTGTGTTAGTGTGTTACCTGGCTGGCCAGCTGCTCCAGCTGAGCGTGTGTTAGCTGCACCCCGAACCGCCCGTGCAGCAGCAGGCGCCCCTTGTCCCACCAGGTGAGTGTGTTAGTGAGTGTGTTAGTGAGTGTGTGTGTTAGTGAGTGTGTTAGTGTGTTAGTGAGTGTGTTAGTGAGTGTGTTAGTGAGTGTGTTAGTGAGTGTGTTAGTGTGTTAGTGAGTGTGTTAGTGAGTGAGTGAGTGTGCTACCTGGCTGGCCAGCTGCTCCAGCTGAGCGTGTGTGAGTGTGTTAGTGAGTGTGTTAGTGAGTGTGTTAGTGAGCTACCTGGCTGGCCAGCTGCTCCAGCTGAGCGTGTGTTAGCTGCACCCCGAACCGCCCGTGCAGCAGCAGGCGCCCCTTGTCCCACCAGGTGAGTGTGTTAGTGAGTGTGTGAGTGTGTTAGTGAGTGTGTGAGTGTGTGAGTGTGTTAGTGAGTGTGTTAGTGAGTGAGCTACCTGGCTGGCCAGCTGCTCCAGCTGAGCGTGTGTTAGTGAGTGTGTTAGTGTGTTAGTGAGTGAGTGTGTTAGTGAGTGTGTGAGTGTGTTAGTGAGTGTGTTAGTGAGTGTGTTAGTGAGTGTGTTAGTGAGTGTGTTAGTGAGTGTGTTAGTGTGTTACCTGGCTGGCCAGCTGCTCCAGTTGAGCGTGTGTTAGTGAGTGTGTTAGTGAGTGTGTTAGTGAGTGTGTTAGTGAGTGTGTTAGTGAGTGTGTTAGTGAGTGTGTTAGTGAGTGTGTTAGTGAGTGTGTTAGTGAGTTAGTGAGTGTGCTAGTGTGTTACCTGGCTGGCCAGCTGCTCCAGCTGAGCGTGTGTTAGTGAGTGTGTTAGTGTGTTAGTGAGTGTGTTAGTGAGTGTGTTAGTGAGTGTGTTAGTGTGTGTGTTAGTGTGCTAGTGTGTTACCTGGCTGGCCAGCTGCTCCAGCTGAGCGTGTGTTAGTGAGTGTGTTAGTGTGTTAGTGAGTGTGTTAGTGAGTGTGTTAGTGAGTGTGTTAGTGAGTGTGTTAGTGAGTGTGTTAGTGAGTGTGTTAGTGAGTGTGTTAGTGAGTGTGTTACCTGGCTGGCCAGCTGCTCCAGCTGAGCGTGTGTTAGCTGCACCCCGAACCGCCCGTGCAGCAGCAGGCGCCCCTTGTCCCACCAGGTGAGTGTGTTAGTGTGTGTGTTAGTGTGTTAGTGAGTGTGTTAGTGAGTGTGTGAGTGTGTTAGTGAGTGTGTTAGTGTGTTAGTGTGTGAGTGAGTGTGTTAGTGAGTGTGTTAGTGAGTGTGTTAGTGAGTGTGTTAGTGAGTGTGTTAGTGAGTGTATTAGTGAGTGTGTTAGTGAGTGTGTTAGTGAGTGTGTTAGTGAGTGTGTTAGTGAGTGTGTTAGTGAGTGTGTTAGTGAGTGTGTTAGTGAGTGTGTTAGTGAGTGTGTTAGTGAGTGTGTTAGTGAGTGTGTTACCTGGCTGGCCAGCTGCTCCAGCTGAGCGTGTGTGAGTGTGTTAGTGAGTGTGTTAGTGAGTGTGTTAGTGTGCTAGTGTGTTACCTGGCTGGCCAGCTGCTCCAGCTGAGCGTGTGTGAGCTGCACCCCGAACCGCCCGTGCAGCAGCAGGCGCCCCTTGTCCCACCAGGTGAGTGTGTTAGTGAGTGTGTTAGTGAGTGTGTTAGTGAGTGTGTTAGTGAGTGAGTGAGTGTGTTAGTGAGTGTATTAGTGAGTGTGTTAGTGAGTGTGTTACCTGGCTGGCCAGCTGCTCCAGCTGAGCGTGTGTTAGCTGCACCCCGAACCGCCCGTGCAGCAGCAGGCGCCCCTTGTCCCACCAGGTGAGTGTGTGAGTGAGTGTGTTAGTGAGTGTGTTAGTGAGTGTGTTAGTGAGTGTGTTACCTGGCTGGCCAGCTGCTCCAGCTGAGCGTGTGTTAGCTGCACCCCGAACCGCCCGTGCAGCAGCAGGCGCCCCTTGTCCCACCAGGCGAGTGTGTTAGTGAGTGTGTTAGTGTGTGAGTGAGTGTGTTAGTGTGTTAGTGAGTGTGTTAGTGAGTGTGTTAGTGAGTGAGTGAGTGTGTTAGTGTGTTACCTGGCTGGCCAGCTGCTCCAGCTGAGCGTGTGTTAGCTGCACCCCGAACCGCCCGTGCAGCAGCAGGCGCCCCTTGTCCCACCAGGTGAGTGTGTTAGTGAGTGTGTTAGTGTGTTAGTGAGTGTGTTAGTGAGTGAGTGTGTTAGTGTGTTAGTGTGTGAGTGTGTTAGTGAGTGTGTTAGTGAGTGTGTTAGTGAGTGTGTGAGTGTATTAGTGAGTGTGTTAGTGAGTGTGTTACCTGGCTGGCCAGCTGCTCCAGCTGAGCGTGTGTGAGTGTGTTAGTGAGTGAGTGTGTGAGTGTGTTAGTGAGTGTGTTAGTGAGTGTGTTAGTGTGCTACCTGGCTGGCCAGCTGCTCCAGCTGAGCGTGTGTTAGCTGCACCCCGAACCGCCCGTGCAGCAGCAGGCGCCCCTTGTCCCACCAGGTGAGTGTGTTAGTGAGTGTGTTAGTGAGTGTGTTAGTGAGTGTGTGAGTGTGTTAGTGTGTTAGTGAGTGAGTGTGTGAGTGAGTGTGTGAGTGTGTTAGTGAGTGTGTTAGTGAGTGTGTTAGTGAGTGTGTTAGTGAGTGTGTTAGTGAGTGTGTTAGTGAGTGTGTTAGTGTGTTAGTGAGTGAGTGTGTTAGTGAGTGTGTTAGTGTGTTAGTGAGTGTGTTAGTGAGTGTGTTAGTGAGTGTGTTACCTGGCTGGCCAGCTGCTCCAGCTGAGCGTGTGTTAGTGAGTGTGTTAGTGAGTGTGTTAGTGAGTGTGTTAGTGAGTGTGTTAGTGAGTGTGTTAGTGAGTGTGTTAGTGAGTGTGTGTGTTAGTGTGTTAGTGTGTTACCTGGCTGGCCAGCTGCTCCAGCTGAGCGTGTGTTAGCTGCACCCCGAACCGCCCGTGCAGCAGCAGGCGCCCCTTGTCCCACCAGGCGAGCGGTGGCGAGGGGTCGACGGTTCGCGACGTGAGCAGATCCACGCCCTGAAGCACGGCGGCCCACGCCGGCTCCCAGCAAGGGCCCCAGACGGCGCTCCACAGAGACACGCTCGCTGTGGGGAGGGGGAGGAGACACGGGGACACACGCGGAGACACAGGGAGACACGCGGAGACACGGGGGGGAGAAACGGGGAGACACGGGGAGACACGGGGAGACACGGGGAGACACGGTGAGACACACGGTGAGACACACGCGGAGACACGGGGACACACGGGGAGATGAGGGGAGATGAGGGGAGACACGGGGAGACACGGGGAGACACGCGGAGACACGGGGAGACGAGGGGGGACACACGGAGACACAGGGAGATGAGGGGAGACACGGGGAGACGAGGGGAGACACGGGGAGATGAGGGGGGACGAGGGGAGAGACAGTGGGAGACACGGGGAGACACGCTCGCTGTGGGGAGGGGGAGGAGACACGGGGACACACGGGGAGACACGCTCGCTGTGGGGAGGGGGAGGAGACACGGGGAGACACAGGGAGACACGCTCGCTGTGGGGAGGGGGAGGAGACACGGGGAGACACAGGGAGACACGCTCGCTGTGGGGAGGGGGAGGAGACACGGGGAGACACAGGGAGACACGCTCGCTGTGGGGCGGGGGAGGAGACACGGGGAGACACGCGGAGACACGGGGAGACACGGGGAGATGAGGGGACATGAGGGGAGACACGGGGAGATGAGGGGAGACACGGGGAGACACGGGGAGATGAGGGGAGACACGGGGAGAGACAGTGGGAGACACGGGGAGACACACGGGGAGACACGGGGAGATGAGGGGGGACGAGGGGACATGAGGGGAGACACGGGGAGATGAGGGGAGACACGGGGAGACACGGGGAGATGAGGGGAGACACGGGGAGAGACAGTGGGAGACACGGGGAGACACACGGGGAGACACGGGGAGAGACGGGGAGACACGCGGAGACACGGGGAGATGAGGGGAGACACGGGGAGACACGGGGAGATGAGGGGAGACACGGGGAGACACGGGGAGACACGGGGAGACACGGGGAGACACGGGGAGACACGGGGGGGAGACACGCGGAGACACGGGGAGATGAGGGGAGACACGGGGAGACACGGGGAGACACACGGGGAGACACGGGGAGATGAGGGGAGACACGGGGAGATGAGGGGAGACACACGGGGAGACACGGGGAGACACACGGGGAGAGAGACACGGGGAGACACGGGGAGACACACACGGAGACACGGGGAGACACACGGGGAGACACACGGAGAGACACACGGGGAGAGACACGGGGAGACACGGGGAGATGAGGGGAGATGAGGGGGGACACGGGGAGACACGGGGAGACACGGGGAGACACGGGGAGACACGGGGAGACACGGGGAGAAGAGGGGAGACACGGGGAGACACGGGGAGACGAGGGGAGATGAGGGGGGACACGGGGAGACACGGGGAGACACGGGGAGACACGGGGAGACACGGGGAGACACGGGGAGATGAGGGGAGACACGGGGAGACACGGGGAGACGAGGGGAGATGAGGGGAGACGCGGGGAGACACGGGGAGACACGGGGAGACACGGGGAGACACGGGGGGGAGACACGGGGAGACACACGGGGAGACACGGGGAGACACGGGGAGACACGGGGAGACACGCGGAGATGAGGGGAGATGAGGGGAGACACGGGGAGACACAGGGAGACACGCTCGCTGTGGGGAGGGGGGAGGAGACACGGGGAGATGAGGGGAGACACGGGGAGACACGGGGAGACACGGGGAGACGAGGGGGGATGAGGGGAGACACACGGGGAGACACGGGGAGACACGGGGAGACACACGGAGAGACACGGGGAGAGACACGGGGAGACACACGGGGAGACACGGGGAGACACACGGAGAGACACACGGGGAGACACGGGGAGACACGGGGAGACACACGGGGAGACACACGGGGAGACACGGGGAGACACGGGGAGACACGGGGAGACACACGGGGAGACACGGGGAGACACGGAGAGACACAGGGAGATGAGGGGAGACACGGGGAGACACGGGGAGACACGGGGAGACACGGGGAGATGAGGGGAGACACGGGGAGACACGGGGAGACACACGGGGAGAGAGACACGGGGAGACACGGGGAGACACACACGGAGACACGGGGAGACACACGGGGAGACACACGGAGAGACACACGGGGAGACACGGGGAGATGAGGGGAGACACGGGGAGACACGGGGAGAGAGACACGGGGAGACAAGGGGAGAGACACGGGGAGACACGGGGAGACACGGGGAGACACACGGGGAGACACACGGGGAGACACGGGGAGATGAGGGGGGACACGGGGAGACACGGGGAGACACGGGGAGACACGGGGAGACGAGGGGGGATGAGGGGAGACACGGGGAGAGAGACACGGGGAGACATGGGGAGACACACGGGGAGACACGGGGAGACACGGGGAGACACGGGGAGACACGGGGAGACGAGGGGGGATGAGGGGAGACACGGGGAGAGAGACACGGGGAGACACGGGGAGACACGGGGAGACACAGGAAGATGAGGGGAGACACGGGGAGACACGGGGAGACAAGGGGAGACACGGGGAGACACGGGGAGACACACGGGGAGACACACGGGGAGACACACGGGGAGACACGGGGAGATGAGGGGGGACACGGGGAGACATGGGGAGACACGGGGAGACACGGGGAGACACGGGGAGACACGAGGAGACACGAGGAGACACGGGGAGACAAGGGGAGACACGGGGAGACAAGGGGAGACACGGAGAGACAAGGGGAGCCACGGGGAGACACACGGGGAGACACACGGGGAGACACGGGGAGATGAGGGGGGACACGGGGAGACACGGGGAGACACGGGGAGACACGGGGAGACACGAGGAGACACGGGGAGACAAGGGGAGACACGGGGAGACAAGGGGAGACACGGGGAGACAAGGGGAGACACGGGGAGACAAGGGGAGACATGGGGAGACAAGGGGAGACACGGGGAGACAAGGGGAGACACGGGGAGACAAGGGGAGACACAGGGAGACAAGGGGAGACATGGGGAGACAAGGGGAGACACGGGGAGACAAGGGGAGACACGGGGAGACGAGGGGAGATGAGGGGAGATGAGGGGAGACACGGAGAGACACGGGGAGACAAGGGGAGACACAGGGAGACAAGGAGAGACACAGGGAGACACGGGGAGACAAGGGGAAACAAGGGGAGACACGGGGAGACACGGGGAGACACGGGGGGACACGGGGAGACAAGGGGAGACAAGGGGAGACAAGGGGAGACACGGGGAGACACGGGGGGACACGGGGGGACACGGGGAGACACGGGGAGACACGGGGAGACAAGGGGAGACAAGGGGAGACACGGGGAGACACGGGGAGACAAGGGGAGACACGGGGAGACATGGGGAGACAAGGGGAGACACGGGGAGACAAGGGGAGACACGGGGAGACAAGGGGAGACACGGGGAGACACGGGGAGACACGGGGAGACAAGGGGAGACACGGGGAGACAAGGGGAGACACGGGGAGACAAGGGGAGAGACGGGGAGACAAGGGGAGAGACGGGGAGACAAGGGGAGAGACGGGGAGACATGGGGAGACACGGGGAGACACGGGGAGACAAAGGAGACACGGGGAGACAAGGGGAGACACGGGGAGACACGGGGAGACGAGGGGAGACACGGGGAGACACACGGGGAGACACACGGGGAGACACGGGGAGACACGGGGAGACACGGGGAGACACGGGGAGACACACGGGGAGACACAGGGAGACGCGGGGAGACGCTGGGAGACAAGGGGAGGCACAGGGAGACACGGGGAGACAAGGGGAGACACAGGGAGACACGGGGAGACACGGGGAGACACGGGGAGACACAGGGAGACACGGGGAGACACGGGGAGACAAGGGGAGACAAGGGGAGACACCATGATAGTAGTAGTGGTGATAGTGGTGGTAGTGATAGTGTTAGTAGTAGTGATAGTAGTATGATAGTGGTAGTAGTAGTGATAGTGTTAGTGATAGTGGTGGTAGTAATAGTAGTAGTAGTGATAGTGGTAGTAGTGATAGTGTTAGTGATAGTGGTGGTAGTAATAGTAGTAGTAGTGATAGTGGTAGTAGTGATAGTGTTAGTGATAGTGGTGGTAGTGATAGTAGTGATAGTAGTAGTGGTAGTAGTGATAGTAGTAGTGATAGTGGTGGTAGTGGTAGTAGTAGTAGTGATAGTGGTGGTAGTGATAGTAGTGATAGTGGTGGTAGTGATAGTGATGGTAGTGATAGCGATAGTAGTGATAGTGGTGGTAGTGATAGTGATAGTGGTGGTAGTGATAGTGATAGTGGTGGTAGTGATAGTAGTAGTGATAGTAGTGATAGTGATAGTAGTGATAGTGATAGTAGTGATAGTGATAGTAGTGATAGTGATAGTAGTGATAGTAGTAGTAGTAGTGATAGTGGTAGTAGTGATAGTGATAGTAGTAGTAATAGTAGTAATAGTGATAGTTGTAGTAGTGATAGTAGTAGTAGTGATAGTGGTGATAGTGATAGTAGTGATAGTGATAGTAGTAGTGATAGTAGTAGTAGTGATAGTGATAGTGGTGGTAGTGATAGTAGTAGTAGTGATAGTAGTGATAGTTATAGTAGTGATAGTAGTGATAGTGATAGTAGTGATAGTGATAGTAGTGATAGTGATAGTAGTGATAGTGATAGTAGTGATAGTGATAGTAGTGATAGTGATAGTAGTGATAGTGATAGTAGTGATAGTGGTGGTAGTGATAGTGATAGTAGTAGTAGTAGTGATAGTAGTAGTGATAGTGATAGTAGTAGTGATAGTGATAGTAGTAGTGATAGTAGTGATAGTGGTGGTAGTGATAGTGATAGTAGTGATAGTGATAGTAGTGATAGTGGTAGTAGTGATAGTAGTGATAGTGGTAGTAGTGATAGTGATAGTAGTGATAGTGATAGTAGTAGTAGTGATAGTGATAGTAGTGATAGTGGTAATAGTGATAGTAGTAGTAGTGATAGTAGTGATAGTGGTAGTAGTGATAGTGGTAGTGATAGTGTTAGTAGTAGTGATAGTAGTAGTAGTGATAGTTGTGGTGGTAGTAGTGATAGTAGTGATAGTGATAGTAGTGATAGTGATAGTAGTGATAGTGATAGTAGTAGTAGTTGTGACTCACACGAGATGTCAAAGTGGAACTTGAGTGGGGGCAGGTTCCTATCGACGTCGGTAGTAGTAGTAGTAGTGGTGGTAGTGATAGTAGTGATAGTGGTGGTAGTGATAGTAGTATTAGTGTTAGTAGTGGTAGTGAGTGGTGGTAGTGATAGTAGTAGTAGTAGTGATAGTGGTGGTAGTAGTGATAGTGGTGATAGTAGTGATAGTGATAGTAGTGATAGTAGTAGTAGTGATAGTAGTAGTGATAGTAGTGATAGTGATAGTAGTGATAGTGATAGTAGTGATAGTCGTAGTGATAGTAGTGATAGTAGTAGTAGTTGTGACTCACACGAGATGTCAAAGTGGAACTTGAGTGGGGGCAGGTTCCTATCGACGTCGGCGGCCCCCCAGGGTTGCCCCAGGTCGACGGTCGTGCGGCGATGGGAGCGTGGAGGGCCCAGCTCCTCCGTGCCCACCAGGACACCCCACAGCGACCAGTCACGCACCTCCAGCATGCAGCGGGGATAGTCGCGAATCCTCACTGTGAGACACACACAGAGACACACACACACACAGAGACACACACAGACACACACACAGAGACACACACACACACAGACACACACAGACACACACACAGATACAGAGACACACACAGACACACACACAGAGACACACACAGACACACACACAGACACACACACAGAGAGACACACACACACAGACACACACACACACAGACAGACACACAGAGAGAGACACACACACAGACACACACACACAGACACACACACAGACACACACACAGACACACACACAGACACACAGACACACAGACACACACACACACAGAGAAACACACACACAGAGACACACACAGACACAGACACACACAGACACACACACAGATACAGACACACACACAGATACACACAGAGACACACACACACAGACACACACACACAGACACACACAGATACAGAGACACACAGAGACACACACACACAGAGACACACACACAGACACACACACACACAGAGACACACACAGACACACACAGACACACACACAGACACACACACACACAGATACACACACAGAGACACACACACAGATACACACACACACAGAGACACACACAGACACACACACACAGACACACACAGATACAGAGACACACAGAGACACACACACACAGAGACACACACACACAGGCACACACACAGACACACACACACAGACACACACACACAGAGACACACACACACAGAGAAACACACAGATACAGAGACACACACAGATACACACAGACACACAGACACACACAGACACACACAGAGAGACACACACACAGAGACACACAGATACACACACAGACACACACAGACACACAGACACAGAGACACACAGACACACAGAGACACACAGAGACACACAGACACACACAGACACAGACAAACAAACAGACACACACACAGAGACACACACGATACAGAGACACACACAGAGACATACACACACAGAGACACACACAGACACAGATACACACACAGAGACACACACAAACACACATTTTAGATACATAGACAACAACAACAACCGCCATTCGCCACTAAGTGGCGGTGACGTCACCACGACGCTTGTGCCAGGCCATGTGCACCCTGAGGCCACGTGAAGTGTCGAACGCCCGCGGGCAGGAGGTCACGGGGCAGACCACAGACACACACACAGAGACACACACAGACACACACAGACATACACAGCATGTCTGGCTGTAGTAGTGTGTGTGTGTAGCAGCGTGTGGCTGTAATAATCCAGGCTGTAGCGGCGTGTCTGGCTGTAGCAGCGTGTGGCTGTAGTAATCTGGCTGTAGTAGTCTGGCTGAAGTAAGCTGGCTGTAGTAGTCTGGCTGTAGTAATCTGGCTGTAGTAGTCTGGCTGTAGTAATCTGGCTGTAGTAGTGTCGCTGTAGTAATCTGGCTGTAGTAATGTGGCTGTAGTAGTCTGGCTGTAGTAGTGTGGCTGTAGTAGTGTGGCTGTAGTAATTTGGCTGTAGTAGTCCGGCTGTAGTAATCTGGCTGTAGTAGTCCGGCTGTAGTAATCTGGCTGTAGTAGAGTGTGGCTGTAGTAATCTGGCTGTAGTAGTCTGGCTGTAGTAATCTGGCTGTAGCAGAGTGTGGCTGTAGTAGTCTGGCTGTAGTAGTCTGGCTGTAGTAGTGTGGCTGTAGTAATCTGGCTGTAGTAGTCTGGCTGTAGTAATCTGTCTGTAGTAGTGTGGCTGTAGTAGTCTGGCTGTAGTAATCTGGCTGTAGTAGAGTGTGGCTGTAGCAGCGTGTGGCTGTAGTAATCCAGGCTGTAGTAATGTGTGGCTGTAGTAGTCTGGCTGTAGTGTGGCTGTAGTAATCTGGCTGTAGTAGTGTGGCTGTAGTAATCTGGCTGTAGTAGTGTGTGGCTGTAGCAGTCTGGCTGTAGTAGTGTGGCTGTAATAATCTGGCTGTACTAGTCTGGCTGTAGTAATCTGGCTGTACTAGTCTGGCTGTAGTAATCTGGCTGTAGTAGTGTGTGGCTGTAGTAGCCTGGCTGTAGTAGTGTGGCTGTAGTAATCTGGCTGTAGTAGTCCGGCTGTAGTAGTGGGGCTGTAGTAGTGTGGCTGTAGTAATCTGGCTGTAGTAGTCTGGCTGTAGTAGAGTGTGGCTGTAGTAATCTGGCTGTAGTAGTCCGGCTGTAGTAATCTGGCTGTAGTAGTCTGGCTGTAGTAATCTGGCTGTAGTAGTCTGGCTATAGTAGAGTGTCTGGCTGCAGTAATCTGGCTGTAGTAGAGTGTGGCTGTAGTAGTCTGGCTGTAGTAGTCTGGCTGTAGTAGTGTGGCTGTAGTAATCTGGCTGTAGTAGTGTGTGGCTGTAGCAGTCTGGCTGTAGTAGTGTGGCTGTAATAATCTGGCTGTACTAGTCTGGCTGTAGTAATCTGGCTGTACTAGTCTGGCTGTAGTAATCTGGCTGTAGTAGTGTGTGGCTGTAGTAGTCTGGCTGTAGTAGTGTGGCTGTAGTAATCTGGCTGTAGTAGTGTGGCTGTAGTAGTGTGGCTGTAGTAATCTGGCTGTAGTAGTCTGGCTGTAGTAATCTGGCTGTAGTAGAGTGTGGCTGTAGTAGTCTGGCTGTAGTAGTGTGTGGCTGTGGTAATCTGGCTGTAGTAGTCTGGCTGTAGTAATCTGGCTGTAGTAGTGTGGCTGTAGTAGTGTGGCTGTAGTAGTCTGGCTGTAGTAGTCTGGCTGTAGTAATCTGGCTGTAGTAGTGTGGCTGTAGTAGTGTGGCTGTAGTAATCTGGCTGTAGTAGAGTGTCTGGCTGTAGTAATCTGGCTGTAGTAGAGTGTGGCTGTAGTAGTCTGGCTGTAGCAGAGTGTGGCTGTAGCAGCGTGTGGCTGTAGTAATCCAGGCTGTAGTAGTGTGTGGCTCTAGCAGTCTGGCTGTAGTAGTGTGGCTGTAATAATCTGGCTGTACTAATCTGGCTGTAGTAATCTGGCTGTACTAGTCTGGCTGTAGTAATCTGGCTGTAGTAGTGTGTGGCTGTAGTTGTCTGGCTGTACTAGTATAGCTGTAGTAATGTGGCTGTAGTAGTCTGGCTGTAGTAGTGTGGCTGTAGTAGTGTGACTGTAGTAATCTGGCTGTAGTAGTCTGGCTGTAGTAGAGTGTGGCTGTAGTAGAGTGTGGCTGTAGCAGTGTGACTGTAGTAATCTGGCTGTAGTAGTCTGGCTGTAGTAATCTGGCTGTAGTAGTGTGGCTGTAGTAGTCTGGCTGTAGTAATCTGGCTGTAGTAGAGTGTCTGGCTGTAGTATTCTGGCTGTAGTAGAGTGTGGCTGTAGCAGCGTGTGGCTGTAGTAATCCAGGCTGTAGCGGCGTGTCTGGCTGCAGCAGTCTGGCTGTAGTAATCTGGCTGTACTAGTTTGGCTGTAGTGGTCTGTCTGGCTGTAGTAGTGTGTCTGGCTGTAGTGGTGTGTCTGGCTGTAGCAGCGTGTCTGGCTGTAGTAGTGTGTCTGGCTGTAGCGGTGTGTCTGGCTGTAGCAGTCTGGCTGTAGTAGAGTGTGGCTGTAGTAATCTGGCTGTAGCAGTCTGGCTGTAGTAGAGTCTGGCTGTAGTAATCTGGCTGTACTAGTCTGGCTGTAGTAATCTGGCTGTACTAGTCTGGCTGTAGTAGTGTGTCTGGCTGTAGCAGTCTGGCTGTAGTAGTGTGTCTGGCTGCAGCAGTCTGCCTGTACTAGTCTGGCTGTAGTAGTGTGCCTGTCTGTATCAGTCTGGCTGTAGTAGTGTGTCTGTCTGTATCAGTCTGGCTGTATCAGTCTGGCTGTAGTAGTGTGTCTGTCTGTATCAGTCTGGCTGTATCAGTCTGGCTGTAGTAGTGTGTCTGTCTGTATCAGTCTGGCTGTAGCAGTCTGTCTGTAGTAGTGTGTCTGTCTGTATCAGTCTGGCTGTATCAGTCTGGCTGTAGTAGTGTGTCTGTCTGTATCGGTCTGTATCAGTCTGGCTGTAGTAGTGTGTCTGTCTGTATCAGTCTGTTTGTATCAGTCTGCCTGTAGCGGCGTGTCCGTCTGTATCGGTCTGGCTGTAGCGGTGTGTCTGTCTGTAGCAGTCTGGCTGTAGTAGTGTGTCTGTCTGTATCAGTCTGGCTGTAGTAGTGTGTCTGTCTGTATCAGTCTGGCTGTAGCAGTCTGTCTGTAGTAGTGTGTCTGTCTGTATCGGTCTGGCTGTAGTAGTGTGTCCGTCTGTATCAGTCTGTCTGTATCAGTCTGGCTGTAGTAGTGTGTCTGTCTGTATCAGTCCGTCTGTATCGGTCTGTCTGTATCGGTCTGTCTGTATCGGTCTGGCTGTATCAGTCTGGCTGTAGTAGTGTGTCTGGCTGTATCAGTCTGTCTGTATCGGTCTGGCTGTATCAGTCTGTCTGTATCAGTCTGCCTGTAGCGGCGTGTCTGTCTGTATCGGTCTGTCTGTATCAGTCTGGGTGTAGTAGTGTGTCTGTCTGTATCGGTCTGTATCAGTCTGGCTGTACTAGTGTGTCTGTCTGTATCAGTCTGTTTGTATCAGTCTGCCTGTAGCGGCGTGTCCGTCTGTATCGGTCTGGCTGTAGCGGTGTGTCTGTCTGTAGCAGTCTGGCTGTAGTAGTGTGTCTGTCTGTATCAGTCTGGCTGTAGTAGTGTGTCTGTCTGTATCAGTCTGGCTGTAGCAGTCTGTCTGTAGTAGTGTGTCTGTCTGTATCGGTCTGGCTGTAGTAGTGTGTCCGTCTGTATCAGTCTGTCTGTATCAGTCTGGCTGTAGTAGTGTGTCTGTCTGTATCAGTCCGTCTGTATCGGTCTGTCTGTATCGGTCTGGCTGTATCAGTCTGGCTGTAGTAGTGTGTCTGGCTGTATCAGTCTGTCTGTATCGGTCTGGCTGTATCAGTCTGTCTGTATCAGTCTGCCTGTAGCGGCGTGTCTGTCTGTATCAGTCTGGGTGTAGTAGTGTGTCTGTATCAGTCTGTCTGTATCGGTCTGGCTGTATCAGTCTGGCTGTAGTAGTGTGTCTGTATCAGTCTGGCTGTAGTAGTGTGTCTGTATCAGTCTGTCTGTATCGGTCTGTCTGTATCAGTCTGGCTGTAGTAGTGTGTCTGTATCAGTCTGTCTGTATCGGTCTGGCTGTATCAGTCTGGCTGTAGTAGTGTGTCTGTATCAGTCTGGCTGTAGTAGTGTGTCTGTATCAGTCTGTCTGTATCGGTCTGTCTGTATCAGTCTGGCTGTAGTAGTGTGTCTGTATCAGTCTGTCTGTATCGGTCTGGCTGTATCAGTCTGGCTGTAGTAGTGTGTCTGTATCAGTCTGGCTGTAGTAGTGTGTCTGTATCAGTCTGTCTGTATCGGTCTGGCTGTATCAGTCTGGCTGTAGTAGTGTGTCTGTATCAGTCTGTCTGTATCGGTCTGGCTGTATCAGTCTGGCTGTAGTAGTGTGTCTGTATCAGTCTGGCTGTAGTAGTGTGTCTGTATCAGTCTGTCTGTATCGGTCTGGCTGTATCAGTCTGGCTGTAGTAGTGTGTCTGTATCAGTCTGTCTGTATCGGTCTGGCTGTATCAGTCTGGCTGTAGTAGTGTGTCTGTATCAGTCTGTCTGTATCGGTCTGGCTGTATCAGTCTGGCTGTAGTAGTGTGTCTGTATCAGTCTGGCTGTAGTAGTGTGTCTGTATCGGTCTGTCTGTACTAGTCTGTATCAGTCTGGCTGTAGTAGTGTGTCTGTCTGTATCAGTCTGTCTGTATCGCTCTGTCTGTATCGGCGTCACCGTGCAGCGTGGCCACGTGTGCCCGCACGGCGCGTCCCCACTGGATGCTGAACTTGGTTCCCGGTGGTGGCAGAGCCCCAGCAGGATCCACGTGCCTCATGGCACGGAGAACACGTGGCAGGCCCTGCAGGCAGCCGTCGGCTAGGGCCACCAGCTACACAGCCACGGGTCGTGTGGAGGGGCGGGGGGGCAAGTGCTGTGGTTAGTAGTCAGTAGCAGCACCTACACACAAAGATCTCCCAGGTAGCCTCTAGCAGGGCTGTAGGGGCAAGTGCTGTGGTTAGTAGTCAGTAGCAGCACCTACACACAAAGATCTCCCAGGTAGCCTCTAGCAGGGCTGTAGGGGCAAGTGCTGTGGTTAGTAGTCAGTAGCAGCAGCACCTACACACACACAGAGAGAGATAAAGGTCCCCCAGGTAGCCTCTAGCAGGGCTGTAGGGGCAAGTGCTGTTAGTAGCGAGTAGCAGCACCTACACACACAGAGAGAGAGCTAAAGGTCCCCCAGGTAGCCTCTAGCAGGGCTGTAGGGGCAAGTGCTGTGGTTAGTAGTCAGTAGCAGCAGCACCTACACACACACACAGAGAGACAAAGGTCCCCCAGGTAGCCTCTAGCAGGGCTGTAGGGGCAAGTGCTGTGGTTAGTAGTCAGTAGCAGCAGCACCTACACACACACAGAGAGAGACAAAGGTCCCCCAGGTAGCCTCTAGCAGGGCTGTAGGGGCAAGTGCTGTGGTTAGTAGTCAGTAGCAGCACCTACACACACACCTAAACACACACAAAGATCCCCCAGGTAGCCTCTAGCAGGGCTGTAGAGGCAAGTGCTGTTAGTAGCGAGTAGCAGCACCTACACACACACAGAGAGAGATAAAGGTCCCCCAGGTAGCCTCTAGCAGGGCTGTAGAGGCAAGTGCTGTTAGTAGCGAGTAGCAGCACTGACACACACACACAGAGACAAAGATCCCCCAGGTAGCCTCTAGCAGGGCTGTAGGGGCAAGTGCTGTGGTTAGTAGCGAGTAGCAGCACCTACAGACAAAGATCCCCCAGGTAGCCTCTAGTAGGGCTGTAGGGGCAAGTGCTGTGGTTAGTAGCGAGTAGCAGCACCTACACACAAAGATCTCCCAGGTAGCCTCTAGCAGGGCTGTAGGGGCAAGTGCTGTGGTTAGTAGTCTGTAGCAGCACCTACACACACACACACACAAAGATCTCCCAGGTAGCCTCCAGCAGGCTGTAGGGGCAAGTGCTGTAGTTAGTAGCGAGTAGCAGCACCTACACACACAGACAAAGATCCCCCAGGTAGCCTCTAGCAGGGCTGTCGAGGCAAGTGCTGTTAGTAGCGAGTAGCAGCACCTACACACACACAGAGAGACAAAGGTCCCCCAGGTAGCCTCTAGCAGGGCTGTAGGGGCAAGTGCTGCTAGTAGCGAGTAGCAGCACCTACACACACACACAGACAAAGATCCCCCAGGTAGCCTCTAGTAGGGATGTAGGGGCAAGTGCTGTTAGTAGCGAGTAGCAGCACCGACACACACACAGACAAAGATCCCCCAGGTAGCCTCTAGCAGGGCTGTAGGGGCAAGTGCAGTTAGTAGCGAGTAGCAGCACCTACACACACAGACGAAGATCCCCCAGGTAGCCTTTAGCAGGGCTGTAGGGGCAAGTGCTGTTAGTAGCGAGTAGCAGCACCTACACACACACACACACACAGAGGGGGTGGGTAGCTACCAGCACCACGCCCGGCCGCCTTTGTCTCTCCCCCAGTGCTGGCGATGTTCACTGCCTACAGACCACCGCTACACCAAACAACTCAGTTGAGGCTGAGTCGACCTAGGGGAGGCCCAGGACTGGTACAACTACAAAGACAAAGGTCCCCCGTGTAGCCTCTTGACGGACCACCGGGAGCGCAAGTGCTGTTTGCCAGTAGGGGGTGAATCAGGACACGTTTACCAAGCTGTAAGGGGTCACTTAGAGGCAGCCACCCTCCCTGCAGCATTACGCTCGGGACATCGTCTCTGCCCGGCGCTTTTGCAGGTCTCAGAGACTCCGGATCGCCCTCAGTACTTCCTCAACAGATGGCACCTCAGCCCAGCCACTCACAAGGGGGTGACTTCTTCTTCCAATATTTGAGGCACCGCAGCCTCAGCAGGGTCATCCTCACTTTGTGCCACGATGTTTTCCTGGCTGAGGGATTTTCCCCGTCCCCCAGGACCTCACAGAAATGCTCAGCAAATCTGCGAACCTGTTCCTGGGAGTCGGAGATTGGATCACCGTTTTTTCCCCTAATGATGGTAATAGGTGTGGCGCTGCAGGTTACTTTTTTGATGGAGTTAAATAGAGATTTGTGATCGCGGGCCACTGAGGCAGACTCCATCTCCTCAGCAACCCGCGACCACCACCCATCCTTGCAGCGCCTCACGGCTCTCCGAACCTCCGAGCGAAGGCTGCGGTAAGCCTCCTCTTTCTCCGATGTGGGATGCTGTAGACGATGAGAGTGGGCCTGTCGCTTTTTCTCAGCCATCCTGAACACCTCCTCTGTCAGCCAGGGTCTCTGGGGAGGTCTGGACCGCGTACCCAAAGCAGCCATTGCAGCTGCATGAGTCACAGTCCTAAACCTCGTCCATTTACCCTCGACATCAGGAGGAGTGGGGGACGATGCCAACCCCAGCCGCAAGCGATGATGAAATTCTCGCTTGCAACTTTCATCCGCTAGCTGAGACCATGCCACTAAGGGTTTGAATGGGGTCCTGGGTGTACACCCACCACCGGAGTGGAAGAATGGCAGGCGCATCTTACAGATGACTAGTCGATGGTCAGAGGGCAGATCAGCTCCACGGTAGGTCCTGGTGTCAAGGACATGGGCTCGCATCGGCTGGTCTGTCACTGTGTATTCCAGCAGATGTTCTTGCTTGGACCCGGCATGCATCCATGATGTTGTGTGGATGCGCCGATGCCGGAACAGCGTGTTGGTAATTACAAGCCCATGGGCTGCACAAAAATCTAGCAGCCTCCTACCGTTGTTATTGAGCTGATCTGGCCCAAACCTTCCAATCACTCCAGACCAGGTGCCAGCATCATGAGCCACTCGGGCATTGAAGTCGCCCAACAAGATGACTCTTTAGCCAGCACCTGTGACGGGAGGTCATAGACGGCATCTGACTCATCGGCTTTGCCTGCATCCCTCCACGGATGTTCGTCTTCGGTGGGGGCATAAGCAACCACGACCACCACTCCTCGCCTCCGGTTGATGGGAAGGCGAGCCCAAAGTAGCCTGGGGCTTACAGCTTCCCACACCTCACCGCCACGCTCCCACGCCCCCTTCATTCTTTTGTTCAGAAGAAGAACCACACCCTGTTGTTTGGCAGTCTGCTGCCCCGAGTAGAGGACTGTCCACCCCTCATGGTGGCAGGAGCCAGAGCCGGTCCACCGGACCTCCTGAATGCCACACAGATCCAGGCGGTACCGGTCGTGCTCCCGACAGAGGAGCGGCAGCCTCTCCTCCGCAGTGAGCGTTCGGACATTCCCACGTGGCCACACGAAGTGGCTTTTCGTTGTTTCTGGAGGAGCCCCGAGGGTAGAGATTCAGTCTCCTCTGGACGGGTGCGAGGGGCTGGCAACACCCTCCACCTTCAATGAATCATCACTAAACCATGACTGAAGAATTTAATTAACAAGCTTGTGCCGGAGGCCCCGGGGGTGCGGGGGAGGGACAGCCGTCTATGACGTCTCCTGGCCAAACCCCCGTCTGGCGGCTACGCTGGTGGCTACAAACGCCACGAGGGGAAATGGCCGATCTGAGTTGGCAACTCCCCGCCCGCCCACGGCACCGCTCACCGCAGCGTTGCCGTCCGGCGAGGAGTTGCCGTAGCCCTCCTGTTCCCGGGGTCTTGGCCTTTATTCACGTGTTTTCAAATTTGCCGCTCGGTAGGCAAAAGTGCACGCACGCGCACACACACGCACTCACGCGTACACACACACGCACACACACGCACTCACGTGTACACACACACGCACACGCACTCACGTGTACACACACACACACACGCACTCACGTGTACACACACACGCACTCACGTGTACACACACACACGCACTCACGTGTACACACACACACACACACGCACTCACGTGTACACACACACGCACTCACGTGTACACACACACACACACACGCACTCACGTGTACACACACACACGCACTCACGTGTACACACACACACACACACGCACTCACGTGTACACACACACGCACTCACGTGTACACACACACACACACACGCACTCACGTGTACACACACACACGCACTCACGTGTACACACACACACACGCACACAAAAACACAAAGACACATGCGCACACGCACTCACGCGCGCACACAGACACACACGCACACACACGCACTCACGTGTACACACACACACGCGTACACACACGCACGCGTACACACACACGCACGCGTACACACACACACACACGCACGCGTACACACACGCACGCGTACACACACACGCACGCGTACACACACGCACGCGTACACACACGCACGCGTACACACACACGCACGCGTACACACACACACACGCACACACACACGCACGCGTACACACACACACACGCACTCACGCGTACACACA